TGAATGTTGGACCAAAAAGTCAAAACAAGAACAGGTTTTTAGAACAGGAAGTGTGAAAAGACGTATTTTAAGAAGAGTTATTTACCTAAATAGGACTAAAACATAATGACTTTCTCTAAATAGGACCATATGTTTTTATTTCTCAATGTAGGACCTTTGGTTATTATTAATTAGTCATTATTCAAGTAAATGTCCATCATTGCTGGGCATTATTCCTTCCACGAAGACATTATTAAGTCCTATTTAGAGAATAAAAAAGTTTAAGTCCTAGATTAGGAAAGTCATTATGTTTTAGTCCTATTTAGTGCAAATTTCACTTTTAAGAATGTGGTCTGTATTATACACGAGCATATGAATAAACGTAATATATCCGGATTCGAATAAGCTAACAAAGATGATAAATACTCCATCCGTCTCGTCCTAGTTTGATTTTACGAAATCTAAAAAAAGTGTTGAAAAATAAAAAAAATAGGTGATTACATTTTATTAAAAGAAGGAGATATTTTAAATTACATATTATTTACTTTTTTAGGAAAATAAAAAATGAGTTAATTACTTTTAAACGGACAAAAATTGAAAGTAGACTAGTAATTGAGAAGGAGGAGTATTCGTGTATCGGTGTATGTGAGGTGCTATTAGCCCATTATTATAGGCTTTTTTTCATGGAAGGTATCTCATCTTTGCATTGTAACAAAAACGTACACTAGTACAAAAATGACTTTTTAAATCGGTTATTTGGACCCTTTTAAATCGGTTTCCAACCGATGCAAAAGCCAGCGATGCAAATACTCCGATACGTTTTGCATCGGTTGCTAAAACCGATGCAAAAACCCTTTACAAAAATTACCGCCAGTTCTGAAAGTTGGCTTTTTGCATCGGTTATTACTTAAAAACCGATTCAAATGCCCCTACCCAGAAATGGCGCCATATTTGGGTAGGGGCTTTTGAATCGGTTATTTGTTAGAACCGATTCAATAGCTAAGCTTTTGAATCGGTTATTACAAATAACCGATTCAAATGCTCCTACCCAAATATGGCGCCATTTCTTTGTAGGGGCATTTGAATCGGTTTTTTAGTAATAACTGATGCAAAAGATTAGCTTTTGAATCGGTTATTTTCAATAACCGATTCAAAAAGGCTTTAAATTTTCAAGATTAATTTTGTTTGTTAACGATATAATGGAATACAACAATGCAGAAAATTCAGCCCATCAACACAGAAGTAACTAATACAAATGTTTTCACAAAAATCAAATCAAATGTCACAAAATGAATTAAACCACTTGAATATCTTAAACAATATAAGAGTAAAACTACTACGTACTCTTCAAAGTTTTAACAATACAACTAAATCCTAAAACTACATTGTACTCTACTAACTTACACAAGTTCATCGAGAAAACCCCCGCCCAAAACTCTCTAATTTCCTCTAACTCGGCTCTAGTATAAGGCAAAGTAGACTGAAATACCTGCAAAATCAAAAAACATACGACATAAAGTTCAATAATTATTACCCTACACTTCACTACTTTCGTAAACACTAAAACAAACTTACCTCGAATAATGGTACTGAACATTTCGCACAGATATTGACGATGACCCAACAATATCGCATTGTATAATAACCACAATCAACATTCCCTTCTTGTTGGGGTACTCCTGGAACATCAACCCAATCCGGTCGAGCCTTAAGCTGAGGCATATGTCGT